CATCATTAATTAAGCCCGTAAGACAGTAAGGCTATAAATTATTCAGATATTCGCAAATTACTTGTACATTTTGTTGTGTAATTTGATTTTAATAAATAGGATATACTATTTGATTTATTACTCTAACATTGAGTGCTAAGTAAATGATTTGCAATATAAATAAATAATGAAAACACGTGTAGTGTCTGGTAAGGTTTAATTTACATAATGCAATCTGAATACGCATGTTACTTAAAAAAAAAGTACAGTAAATATAACCTATATTTTCTATATCTATATTACTATACTAAAATTATAAAGAGGATACTTTTGTATTTTGGTATATATTCTATTTAAGTAAAATTTGCTGGGTCGATTTTACAAATTCTTACACTATTAGAAAGGTAATTTATTTGTGATTAACATAAGCTATATTTGATATCACTAATGTTTGGGGAGTATTAATAAAAAGCGTATTTCTGGACCCCGGTATTAAAAATCACTAAATTTTATGATAATGCGCAGAACATCTCTATGTGTCATTTACCTTAAGGTGTGAGACAACACATTCCTGCCACCTGAACATGTTACATAACTGTGGTACTTTGCACCTTTGTCATCGTGGGCAGCAACTGATTATATTGTTTATAATTCCGCTCGCTCTCATGCGCCCATTGTTCAAATACTTGCACAAGAGTGTACATATTGACTGTTGGCGGTTTTATAAGCGAGAGCGGGTATATGTGTAGTATTGGAATTTGCATTGTCTATAAACTTTTACCCACAGGCTGAAAAGTGACGTCTATGAGTAAACACTAGTACAATAGTGTTTTTACTAGTTGTTGTTCGCGACTTCGCCCGCGTAATATTATAATATATAGCCTATGTCACTCACAGGTAAATTACCTTTCTAACGGTTAAAGAATTTTTAAAATTGGCCTAGTAGTTTTTCAGTTATTTCAATACGAACAAAAATCCAAAACTTAAAACCTTTCCTCGTTATAATATTAGTATAGATGTTTTTAAGTGTTCGAAGAGAAAGATATGAAGGGTTGGTGTTTGTGATTTCACAGCCCAATTATACATTCTTACTTATTTTAAAGTAAAAAATACGGCTTGCTATAGACATCGGTATTGCAGATTCATTGGCTACCTCTAATCATCAGAAGAGGGGTCACAGAGAAAGGATCCTATCTATAAGTTCCCTCCTTCGTCAGTTCTAATTTTCAACGAAATTTTCTCATTTTCTTAACAGTCGCTACCTACCCTCATAACCAAATACCAGAATCTAATATGGCGTCGATGTAGCATGAATTCATAATAAACTTCCTTTTGCAGCGCGACATAGTTTAGATCCGCGGTGTGACTAACGTTAATGACAACCATTGTTAACTGAGCTGAATTCAACACTAACTGTTGCATGTGACTTCGTCTGCGTGAAATTAAAACTGTGTTAGTCGATACTCTATTCCAGATATATTTGTACCAAATTTCATCAATAACAAACATACCTTTCCCTATAACTATAGTAGTAACGTGGAGTCCAGGAATCGATTGAGGTTCTTCATTGCTATTGTTTATACGATAAAGTTATGTTTCCTAAAACAGAGTAACACTCGTATATTCCTTTTTATCGGCCGTCATCTGCTGTTCCTTGTATTACGGTTATTCATAGGCGTCGATGATTACCGTGGCGTTCCCGCCCGTTTACCGTTTTCTCCTATATGACCAAATGTTAGATTATTTTCAGAGGTGTCACTTGCCACAGAAGTCAGCTAATGCTGTTAGGATGTTCAGATATTTTATTCTCTTTGAATAGTTTTAAACTGTCGTTAGATTTGTAGATACACTGTAAAATTTATTTGCTAACCGTACTTCGGTCGTCGACCTCTTTGATCGTAAACCTTCCACAATTACAAGTTAGCAATTGCTTGCAACGAGCCTATCGCACTTAAAACCTACTAACCAACGGTACTTACATGTACTACACTATGTACGCGGAAATCCGCGTGCATAGTGGCGAATGGCTTCAGGAGAAATTGCCTTGTTTATTGCGACGTGACAAACCCACCTCTTCCTACAAATAACTTATTAGATAGCAGTATTGCAAACGAACGAAATGGCATAGTCCGTAATTACATATGCGTTGCCTACCCTTATTCGACAGAGGAGACGCAAGTAAATAAGATATTTCCCTTTCCTATGTGTAACCTTTACCGTCTAATCTTATAAGAAAAAGGTGGAAGAGAATGGAACAAAATAAGCTTTTGTCATGCACACTCATCCGTCTAAACGAGGAATTGCACCCACTTCACGTCTGTCTCCTATGTGGTGGTTTGCACCGGTCGTGCCGGGCCATTCGTGTGATGTTAAAGCGTGCTCTACCACTGTAAAACAGTTTACTTTAGTGTGACATATACCCACCGCGTCAGGTGACTTTGGCGGTCTATGCGTGCAGAATTTTCTGTGCGCTGCGTTTAGTTTAAAACCTCTATGATATTATGTGGCTTAGCTACTAAAATCGTTTTCTATACTAAGGGCTAATGGGTTAGCCATCTGTCACAACTCTTGTATCATACATTGTGTAGACGCATTACCATAACCGTATGAATAAACTCATGAAGCTTCGGATGCAGTATAACAGTCTGCTTCCGTTTTCCGCACGTGTACTCGTACCCTTATTAATGTAATTTAAGCTCTATTTTGTTATCATAGGGCTGAAATTGCCTTTATTTCATATATGTGACTCATTCAACCGATAATACAAATACGACAGCATCCTAAATCGCTGTAGGGTTGACACTTTAAAATAAATGACAGTTTTTATTTGACGAATTAATCTTTAAAGAAATTAAATTAAAATCTAGTTATCTTGAAAAAGTATTGTTTATTTTGGCTTGCTAATTGTGAATGATTTCGGGGATATCTTTAGGGGAATTGATCTTTAACTAAAAAACACAAAACTTGTCGATATACCTAAGTATATCTCTAATAAAATCAAATTCTAAAGATTTGCGTCACGTTATTTATGTGTGTTTATTTCGCTTACATTCGCAAGGGACTGTTGACTGATATGACTGATGATAGTTATTAGGAGGACGAAAAACGAGTAGAATTAGGTAGGGGAGATGATCATTACGCTCGTTAAATTATCTATATTATTATAATAAAGCGTAAACACACTTCTTTGTTGCCCAAGATGTGAGCAATTACATCGTTTTTGAATGTTTTTTTTAATAAAAAGCCCTACACTTACGTCACGCTTTAGGCTAAATATTTTCACCCTATTAAATTTAGGGGAAAATATTTTGAATAAAAACCCTAATGTGGGAAAGAGACCATAAGTTGCTGCCAACATCGAGGAAGGAAGACTGTCAAGGTTTGTCATGTCATGTCATTTTGACATTTGCTATTAATAATTTGACAAATGTTAATAATAAAATAAAATTTTCACAATTTCATGCGGATGAAACCGCACGGGAACAGCTAGTTTAATTATAAAATTTTAACCTTAGTCGATTTAATTTGTAGTCTTTGTGTCAACCCTGCATCCTCCCCAGAGAACTAAGACACGTGTTACAATAGAATAGACTCCCAGTGCAAATCAAATGCGATACCGTCTTTATACACTGATTGGAGTATCAACGCTAACTATTCCTAACGAAGTTGTATATGTCATGTCTAAGTTCAAGACTTAATAACCCTTTAACTCAAGTTGTACAGTCAAATAAAATTAAGCTTCAAACTAGAGTTTCACTGCGTATTTGTTTTATGACATATGAGTTTTGATTGCAACCGTTCTCATGTACCAGTTTATACAGTGTTGTACAAAATTTATTGCAGCTTGCAATTTATACAATTTTAGGTACCGATCCTGCGAACTTTTTTCTTTATTCTAACCATCTATCGCTATGCTGACTTCTACGAGCCGATGTTACCTTTGAATGTTGTATTACCTCTGTTTAGACCGATAAAGTAATCAGACCCGCTTAGATAGCCCACTAGTGTCTCCATTTTATTATCAAAAAAGTTTTTAACTGTCAATCGGTGTATTTCCGGACTCTAAGACTCAGCGCCTCAGGCCCAGGGTTGTCGAACACTAATTAAAAAGCAGTATACATTTACGCCCACTTCCAACTATACAGTATACATTAACGCCCACTTCCAGCCCTCGCAAATGTCCACTACATCGTAAACATGTTTCGACACTAATTAACCGTACGACTACGTTTTAATTAATTTGCAAACGTCCAATTAATTTGGGTGCGGTCCTGTTTTGTTGAAAAGTAAGGTAAAACGAACGCAATTAATGCTTGCATTTAATTATAAATTGCTTGCAGGGGTAATTTGATCGATTTTTGTGTTTTACGTTTATTCCGTTTACAAAAATAAAGCTTCATAATACTAGTGGTTGTTTGTAAATGTTTTGAGGTTAGGGTTTTTAACCGTTTGGAAGTAAAACAGGGTAATGGGAAATTATAATTAAATTCATTACCTCATTCTTTGACACGGTTACTTAAGTAGTCTCATAGTGTAGATATCTCTTGTTAAATCTTACTAATGTTACTATCTGAACAGTCTGATCGTTCAGATAAATCTAACAAAACTAGGAACTGTTCAGTTCTCAGTGAACAGTCTCTCAAAACTAAGCGTGTGTAGCGGGCTTTACTAATTTCTCATTACTAGTAGGTGATATTGATTGTTAAATATATAGCATGTTCAATCATCCATAATAATGATAAGAGCGGCTTTTGCAAAACAACTTCCGTTTCATAAATCCGGATATCCTTTAACTGATCTTATCGTGTGATATCGTATCGATATTGTGTCGTGTTGTATCAGTATTGTCGACGATATTATCTAAAGTGATACTTATGTCCGCTGTGTAATCCATAGATATATAAATAGATAGGCGATTGTTTGGTAACAGCTTTTGTTTTGTTCCGACTTTAACGTGCCTTGTAATGTCAGTACAGCATTAATAAACCTTTTTGTCTAACAATTTTCTTCATAATTTCCAGTACGTTGGTGCCGTGGAAACACTTCCGCGAGGAGTTGAACAACGTGCATCCGATATCCTCGGGCCTGGAGACGATGGCGTTGAAGACGACTATAGACCTGACGTGCAACGATTTTATATCAAACTTCGAGTTCGATGTGTTTACAAGGTGAGATACTACCCTTTGGAAATTAGAAATCAAACAGTTTAGATGCTCTACGTGCCTACTGTTTGTATGACATATAAAATAATAATAATGAATAGATTTTTTACTTTTTGACCTTGAGAAGCTCTGTTGTTTTTTTACGTCGAAGTGACATCTGAGCTTATGTTATGAATGGAATATGACGATTGACGTCAATTGTCTATTGACAACTCCGGTCGCGTTTTAGTCTCTTGAAAATGGTCGTAATTTTATTTTATTATTTTTAGCTCAATGGTTTTCGCGTCAAATTTTTTTTCCTAGTTATTTATAACAAGTAGAATCGTTTAAAAAAAGAAAACGATACGTGCATATTCCCTTATAGAAATAGGTAAAATGTAGTAAAAATGATACTTCATACAACATTTAATATTACCATATAGTATAAAATAATGTCGCTTACTGCTGTGTGAACATATGAGTATATATGCTTAGATCTTTAAAACTATGCTGCATATTTTGATGCAGTTTAGTTTAATAGAGTAATTACAGAGGTAAAACTTGTATAATGTAGTAGTAAAACTAATAATTTCAGAGGTTTATAATGTGATGTAATACATATTTTGTATTACCATTCGACCCGTGCGAAGCCGGGCTGTGTCGCTAGTAATTTAATAATATTAAACCTACGGTAAGACAGCTAGCAAACAAGTGGACACTAAAAGCAATTGCCCCCTCAAGTGCTTGTTAACTTATAATGTCCCTTCGATAGCTAAGTGCCTCGACCAATTTAGATACGTTGCCTTGTAATTGATCTATTTAAAGTTACCATGTGTTTACTTCTATTACTTGCTAAAGTCTTCATTCGCCTAAAGGTTTTGATATTTGACTTAAATTCTTCGTAAAAATAGTAGTTACATTGAACAGTAGCTTTTACTACTTCGTCCGCAACATTTTTAAAAAATGTTAGAGAATAAGCTTTGGCCCGCGAGTCCGCCGCGTGGAATTAAAATAAAAACAAAAGTGAGTAACCTATCTGTTCTTTCAGACTATCCTCTACATCTATGCCAAATTTCATCGAAATCCGTTCAGCTGTTTAAACAACAAACATCCATCCATCCATCTAAGCTTTCGTATTTATAATATTAGTATGATATAGCTTATGTTTCTCACTGATAACGTAGTTATTAATTATGAAATATTTTTTGAATTCGGTCCATTAGTTTTTGAGTTATATCAATAATACAAATGTTTCCTCTTTATAGTATTAGTACAGATTAGCGGAACTGCAAAAAAAATTTCTTATTTATGAGATTTAATTTGCTAACTATTGAAGAGTTAGTTTTGTTAATGTAGAGTTACAAAATTCGTAAATTTAGCTCTCTTTCCTTATATCTTCCTTCTCTGTCTTGTAACGAAATGTGTCGCAACGTGACGTGACCTTGAAAGTATTCGAATGTGTTTTAATTGTGTATTTTATATAATTCCAGGTTATTCCAGCCTTGGAGCACGTTGTTAAGGAATTGGCAGCTGCTAGCGGTCACCCATCCTGGTTACGTGGCGTTCCTGACCTACGACGAGGTTAAGGCTCGTCTGCAGAAATACATTCACAAGACTGGAAGTTATGTGTTTAGGTATGATTTAATGGGTTACTTAATTAAGACATTACTTAATGTGTTTATCTTACTAATATTATATACTAGCTTTTGCCCGCGACTCCGACCGCGTAGAATTAAATTAATTAAAATATTTTAATTAATAAAATTAATTTAAATCAAATAAAATTAAAATTAAAAAAATAAACCATGTAGCCTATGTGTTCTTCCACACTATCATCTACATCTATGATATTTCGTCGAGAAACGTTCAGCAGTTTAGGCTACAAAATCTAACAAACGTCCATCCATCTAAACTTTCGCATTCAGTATATAAGTAAGATGTGAACATTTGGATGGATGGATGTTTGTTACGGTTTGTAGCCTAAACGGCTGAACGTATCTCAGGGAAATTTGAAATAGATATAGAGTAGAGTCTGAAAGAACACAGGCTGCTTTTTTATTTACACGAGGATGGATTCGCGGGCGAAAGCTAGGTTCAATGTTAAATAGTCTATAAACAAACTTTGGGCGGGAATATACATAACAGTAGCTGGAACACTAGCAGGCTAGTTAGCATGAGTCCATTGAAACCTTAATAAAATCTATTTTTACTGCATTTTCATAGGACTTTGTTTTTTAACAGCTTCTTTAGTTGATTTTCTATATGGCAATCTCTTTTAATAGTTTTCCCAGTTGTAATTCAAGCTTGTATTTGTATTGCAGGTTGTCTTGTACCCGCTTGGGGCAGTGGGCGATTGGCTACGTGACGGCCGATGGCGAAATTCTGCAAACAATACCACAGAACAAGAGCCTAGTGCAAGCCTTACTTGATGGATATAGGGAGGGATTGTGAGTGTTTCATTTTATTAATTTTTATCAACTATTTTCCTTGCTTTGTACTTGTTTTTGGGAATAAAGGGTTAATTTACCTAGAGTGATAATTATGACGTAATATTTCGATCGTTTTTTTATACTAGAAATAACACATAAAAAGGTAATGTACAGTCGAGGAAATACGCGGTGTTTTATTTACAGATTTTTTACCTCATCTCTTGCATAAACTCGATAAAGCAATCTAAAGTTATATTTTAAGTCTTGTACGCTTTGAAATTTTAATAACATATGTAATAATATACAATAGTTAAGTTTACAGTTATTTTTACTTGAATTAATAATAGCACTCTAAGAGCGTGCGCACAACTTTGACTAAACTATCGCACAATTGTTGTGCGATTGTCAATTGTTTCGCAATCAACTGTTTAGTTGCATAACTAAAAATCGAGTAGTGTACCTCCATATAAGCTCATAGCAATCAAAGCGAGACTAAACAGTTTTGCGATTTAGTTTCAGGTGTCCGCTCTAATTCAAGGTAAAATGTAACAGGGGTCATTACCTTTGCTGGGAAGTAAGATTTTTTTTTATAACATAAGGTGGCAAACGAGCAAGCGGCCACCTGAAACCACCAAAATGGCGAAGCGACCGCTGCC